GCGTTGAACTGGCACCTCTGGCCTAATCCAGGCATCGCAAGTGGTGAATTTGCAGAACAGGTAGACAGGTAGATAGGTAGACAGGTAGATAGGTAGACGGGTAGATAGGTAGACAGGTAGATAGGTAGACAGGTAGATAGGTAGACAGGTAGATAGGTAGATAGATAGGTTCTAAACCACTTATATGATCTTATATATCTATGTCGTTGGTCATCTTATTCTTCGCAGCCATGTGATCATCCTAGGGATTCCAACTCTCATTGTTCCTTTGAAGTCCTGGAAAATGGTAATTTTGATGGATTTGACCATTGGGAAACAGTGATTTTCGATGTGATGCAGATGGGATTTTTAGCAGAAACTACCAGGGATTGATGGTGCCCAAGGGGATGATTCATGGATTTTTTAACATACCGACATTGTCCAAACGAAATCCTTGGAACCACCAGAGAATAGATGGGGCTGTCCTAAATTGGGGGGCTGTCCCCAGTCATGGATGACCATGACTTAGTGAAACCCATGGGAAAATCAGGGGTACCCCCATGACTTAGGAAACCTCCATAGTGCTGGTGTCAGAACTGGTTCAAATCTCATGTCCAGAGGCTCCAGAGTGAGGGAAACAGTTCTCCGAGTCCCATTTGTGGCAGAAAAATACTGCCGTTGTGTGCTGCCTTACACGATGTGAACTTTGACGACCCGTTGAGGGAAGTCAGACCCATGAACTCAGGAGTTCATTCTCGTCCATCACCTCTTGAGCCACTCTGATCCTCATGGCTGCTGACTGCTCATGTGTGGTTAATAGTGGTTAATAAATGTTAATCATGGTTGGTATTGGTCAATATTGGTTAAAGAGGATTATATAATCATTGTCAATACCGGCTCAAAATGGTGCAATGATGTGGGTACAACCAACAGCAATGGATGAATCATGGATCATTGGAATCATGTGGTAAACCCAATCACCCTAAACCATCTCCGAGGACTGACCAAACCCTCTCCGAAGCCAGCGGTCCCTCTTGGGTTTTCCAGTCTTGGATTACCCATGAAACTCAACAACCTACTGAGCTCTTCAACCCCTCAACACCAAGCTGAGATTCGCTCACAGTAAAGAGATCCATGCACTGGGTTTCAAGCGAGGGCCACAACAAGGCCAGAAAACAGCCAAAATGCTATGCAGTTTACGGGACCAAATACTTTGAGTTGATTTCTAACATGTCTATATATATGTGTGTGTGTGTATGTATGTATGCATGCATGCATGCATGCATGTATGCATGCATGCATGCATGCATGCATGTATGTATGTATGCATGCATGCATGCATGCATGTATGTATGTATATATGTGTGTGTGTGTATGTATGGATGCATGCATGCATGCATGCATACATGCATACATGTATGTATACATGTGTGTGTGTATGTATGCATGCATGCATGCATGCATGCATGTATGTATGTATGCATGCATGCATGCATGCATGTATGATAATACATACATGCATGCATGAGGACATTAATGCTTACATACCATGCATGAATGCCAGACATACATCCAGGCATGCATGCAGTATGCATGCATGCATGCATGCATGCATGTATGTATGTATGCATGCATGCATGCATGCATGCATGGATGTATGCATGCATGCATGCATGTATGCATGCATGCATGCATGTATGCATGCATGCATGCATGCATGGATGTATGTATGCATGCATGCATGCATGCATGTATGTATGCATGATGCATGCATGCATGTATGTATGTATGTATGTATGCATGCATGCATGCATGCATGTATGTATGTATGCATGCATGCATGCATGCATGCATGCATGTATGTATGTATGTATGTACATTTGTACATATATATATAATTATATATATATATACATATGTGTATATATATATATATATATATTTACTAATATATTATTTATATATAGATATATGTGTATATATATATATATATATCGAGCCCATCTTGAAGACCTGCTGGCTACTTGTTTCAACTCTTAACAGCTTCGGTTTGAAAGAAAAAACAACGCCCTTGCACGATAACTGCCACATGTGAGACTCTGGATTCACCCCTGAAAAATCCAAAATAGACCCCCTTTCCGCATCCACAGAAGCCCACAGCAAGTTCGACCAACTCAGAAGTTTTTAAGTTTTATTACCCTCCGGTAATTTAACACATGGAAAATGGCCTATCTATAACATTCTATAACTATAGTTGATTTGCCTATTAGTTCATGGTGATTCTCCAGTTGTTTGTATGTTTACCAGAGGGTAACAACCTTAATATCTATCTATATCTTATATTCATTGATATTCCCTATTAAAGTTCCATTAAAGTCCCATTAAACCATTGGTTACATGATTCACCGAGTCACGAAATACAGCTCCTCTTGGGAGTGACTGGTGCAGCCGACTGGCAGGCCAAGTGGCGGTTTTCTTTACCAAGGATTGTATCTAGAAATATGATGTTTTGTGTAAATATGGAGTCCTATGAAAATGATCGGGTTCAATGGCTTCAATACACAAAAAACGAAGGGTTGAAGCAAGAAATAATGGGGATACTCCCAGGCAAAGATATTGGGATGTTGAACATGAGCTGGTTTGCCAGACAACACAAAATGGAAACACACGTGCTTTTAGGTCAATGTTCAACTCAAAACCTAGGAATTCATCTACTTTGTGTCGATTTATTTTGGATATTCCCTGGAGTTTAAGACGTTCTCAACATCCGATCCTCGGACATGAGGCTTGAGCGACAGGGGTTTGATTGGGGGCCAATGGGTTGAAGGGTTGAACCAGCTGGTTTTTCAAATCAGAGAGATCGTTCGCCATTGATGGTTGATCATGTCACATCATGTCCCATCTAACATTGTTTTTCTTAGTTGATTTCAAAATTTTGAGATAAACCGATGTTGGAGACTTGTCCATCGCCAATCCACGGATAGGACGGAAGATGTTCATTGCAAAATTTTGAGATAAACCGATGTTGGAGACTTGTCCATCGCCAATCCACGGATAGGACGGAAGATGTTCAGCGGCTGACTGTTTTCCAATGATTGCTTCGCCCATACTGACATACTGTATCATACGCAGTGGTAACCTGCTCGTTACCCTCATGTGTGGTGTGTATTCCCGTTCTTACTGCCTAAATCCACAGATTGTTTGGCCGAAACCAGGTTATTCCGTACCTTTATTGCACTTATCACTCGACCGTAAAGTCTGGTGAGACAACAAACACACGCTGGCTTCCGACTCATGCTTGCTAAAAACTGAAAAGCGACAGGTTTTTTTCTCTGATCCCTGAATACCTTACTTGGGCCCATTCCCCAAGGAACCTCAGTGCTGCTGCGCTGGCCGCTGCTCCTCGTCCCGTTACTGTCCATGCTGCGGCGTGATTCCAAGCTGCCCATGGAACGAAGGCCTGGGGATCCGTGCTGCCTGGTGAACCTCTAAGGATTTGGTATGCTTATCGTGAATTATTCAGGATTCAAAACGGGTAAATATTGATTGGAAAATTTTGTAAAATGTGTTTATTGCGAAAATTGATCAAATATTGAACGCCTAATTTATACCTACACTAATTAATCTTGATACTGTACGATTTAGGACTGGGATAAATGAGAATGGGCCAAGTCATTGAAAGGGGCGATCTGCATTTTTGGGACCATCAAGCGTCGCCCTCCTCTGGAGTTCTTAGCCCATCTGAGTTTGTAGTCACTGTTTAAAAAGTTCCAAGTCACATGTTCCAAGTTTGATATGCAAAAGACACGACACCACAAACCATCCAATGTTTGACGGTTTACACAAACTCTTGATTTACATAAATGATGATGCAAACTTGCGGGAAGGCCTCCCGAAATATGACCTACCTTCGGGGTTGTTTCCTGTGGGGTACCGGTGCAGTTCCACTAAGCGTTCATGTAACTATAATCATAGAGGGCCCATATTCCAACTTATGAGGTTTATCGTTTACCATGGTTTTACCCATGATTTTTGATCACAACTGCACCCTCAAGTGTGGTTTATTGTTTTGGTCTTGGGCGGTTTTAACCTGGTGAAATGGGCCCCATCCTTATGGTTATTCATCCGATAATGGTAATATGTACAACAGGCAAATGAATCCCTCTGAATGAATTGATGAACATTTGCCAATATGGGTATGTAGTCCAACTTTTCACCATGGTTCATATAAATAAGTCCGCATGTGTCTTAAAGGGCTTATGATAATCTACAGCACCAATTTTGTTGTTCATGATCATGGTGTTTTAATTGTTTTGTTCATATGGGTCAAGGCTGGGCTACCAGTGGATACATAAATCACCATTCCTGCAGTCCTATATTCCATTATGCCAGAATTACCGAAGGAAGTTTAGAAGTCAAACTTCCGACAATATGGACAGATGGAAAAGCAGAGGTGGGAAGAGCAGAGAAGAGAAGAGAAGAAGAAAGAGGAAAGAAGGCTAGAGAAGAGAAAAGAGTCAGAAGAAAGAAGATGTAGGTACGCGAAAAGGTAGAAAAGTCGCGAAACACTGTGTTTTTCAAAAGATTTGCGGCTCCGGAGGGTCAAAAAGGAGGCTCGCTAAAGCGGCGGGTGCGGAGCCAGCTGGCCAGATGAGAGATGAAAAATTGCACGCCGTTGTGGCGCGAAGCACAATCCCAAGTCAAAATGTACAAAACACACCACGTTCGGATCACTTTTGGAAGTTGAGATGTCGAAAAAGTGCACGCCGTTGCGGCGTGAAGCACATTTGGAAGTCAAAATGCTGAAGACACCATGTTCGGAGCACTTTTGAAGTTCAGTTCTCGGAAAAGTGCAGGCTGTTGGGGTGCGAAGCACATGTCGAAGTCAAAATGTGAAAAACACACCACATTCGTTCCACTTTTACGCGGTCACGACGCGACAACAACTACAGCTACAACTACAACTACCACTACACTACCCTACACTACACTACACTACGCCACACTGCACTACACCACAACTACAAATACAACTACCATTATTTTTTCCCACTACATTACACTACATTAAAGACCACATTGCACTACATTACACTACACTACACTGCACTACCCCACCCCACACCAGACCACACTGCACTACACTACACTACACCTACAAATACAAATACAAACATACTAGGCTACATTACGCTACACTAATTACACTACACTGCACTACGCTACACTACACTACACTAATTGCACTACTACTACTACTACTACTACTACTACTACTACTACTACTACTACTCCTACTCCTGCTACTACTCCTGCTGCTACTACTGCTACTACTCCTGCTACTACTACTACCACTACCACTACCACTACCACTACCACTACCACTACCACTACCACTACCACTACTACTACTACTACTACTCCTACTACTACTCCTGCTGCTACTACTACTACTACTGCTACTGCTACTGCTACTGCTACTGCTACTGCTACTGCTACTGCTGCTGCTATTCCTGCTACTACTACTACTACTACTACTACTACCACTACCACTACCACTACCACTACGACTACGACTACTACTACGACTACTACTACTACTACTACTACTACGACGATACGACTACGACTACGACTACGACTACGACTACGACTACGACTATGACTACGACTACGACTACGACTACGACTACGACTACTGCTACGGCTGCTGCTGCTGCTACTACTACTACTACTAACTACTACTACTACTACTACTACTACTACTACTACTACTACTACTGCTACTGCTACTGCTACTGCTACTGCTACTGCTACTGCTACTTGTACTGCTACTACTACTACTACTCCTACTGCTACTGCTACTGCTACTGCTACTACTACTACTGCTACTACTACTGCTATTGCTACTGCTACTGCTACTGCTACTACTACTGCTGCTACTACTACTGCTGCTGCTACTACTACTTCTACTACAGCTACAACTTCAACTACAACTACAACTACGCTACATTACGCTACACTTTACTAATTACACTACCACTACAACTACAACTACCACTACAACTACAACGACGACGACAACTACAACTACAATACATTACATTACATTGCATTATCTTACGTTACGTTACATGACATTGCATTATTTACATTACTCTGTATACACTTCTACAACTAAAACTGCAACTACAACCACCACTACATCACATTACACTACACTACACTAGACTACAGTATACTACACTACAGTACACAACACAACATTACACTACACTACATTACACTTCACTAATTACACCACACCACAACGACAACTGCAACTGCAACTACAACTAGACTACACTAATTACATTACACTACAATACACAACTCCACTACACTACACTACACTACAGCTACAACAACAACTGCACTACACCACACCACATCCAGCAGTTGTGGGTGAGGTGACCGACCAGGTGACCATTGCAACCATGGCAGCCACTCCAAAAAACACAACTCCAAGCACCTTTCGGTCCATCAGTGGGTTCGCTCTGCCATCCATGCATCACACAAGTCACCTCTCCTATAGGTTTCCTATTTTTGAAACTTCCGCCACCGCCTTGTGCGGTACTACTGGTATCCCCAAATATATATCCCCATAATATATCGCTGCTTAAATCCCCATAAATCTCTCCCAACATCTGATGAAACCATGTTTCCACCCATATCCTGGGCAGCTGCGCCTTTTAAAATTCCTCCAGGCTTGCCGGATCCTGGAGGATTTTTGGCCCCGGATTCTTTGAGTAGCGCCACCATTACATCGTCCTTGTACCTGGAGGCGGCTCGCATCGGAGATGAAGGTGAAAAATCCCAGTGCCCGAACGGCGAGCTGCAAAATTCCCATGAAAAATGGAGGTTTATAGCTGGAAAAATAGCCTATGAACACTGGATTTTCCATATTTTAATGGTTATATAATGGTCATGTGGACAAGAAAGGCCAAACCTCTGCAGATGCTTTTCTGTGTAAAGCCACTTTGGATCCACAAAGTTAGATGGTCAAGAACGACGCTGCTAGTTGAAGCACTTCCAAGTGTATTGCAAATATGCTTGCCAAATCACTTGTTGCAAAAAAACTAGAAATAAGTCATACTTGGGTGAGTCCGCTTACTTTTACTGAAGGTAATCTATGGTGAGGTCGGTGTCAGGCTGCTGGAAATTGTTCACATGTATGTATGTATGTATGTATGTATGTATGTATGCATGTATGTATGTATGCATGCATACATGCATGTATGTATGTATTGTTAAGTATCAACATTGCTTACTACACTCATACTGATGGTCAACATCTTGGCCCAACATCAAGGCCTTGGGTCAGCCTGGAAGCCAGCTGTTAAGAGAACAGATTGGCAGTACAACAATACAGCGTGTGCAACAAATGGATTGCGTCAACAGCGCGCAGCTTCAGCAGTGCAGCATAATGTTCAACAGCTGCCTGAAACTTTTCATGGTAGCGGAGCTCTGCCTAACCAGGGGCATCTCCAAGCAACAGCAGTGAACAACAGGCAGAGGACTTGATCCCAGAGCACTGGGGGATCCTCAACAAGATACAACAAGCACCCACACACAACAATGCCAGCGCCAGCAGATGATGATGTAACAGCCTTGGCAGCAACACACACAGTCAAACTCAAACCCCCAACATATGATGGCAACTACGCCACATATGAAGAATGGAAATACAAGTTCACGGCATACAGGGGCCTACAAGACCCATTCTACCCAAGGATGTTTAGACTGGCAGAAGCAACAACACAACAAGTGACAGAAGCACACTTCAGACAGGCAGCATCAAAACTGGAAGAAGCAGAAGCATGGGTCCAACTCGACCAGAACCTCAAGTACGTGTTGACCAACATTACAACAGGAGCAGCAGCCACACTTTTTGCAGACAACACCAACATGAGATTGGACCCGAGGCATTCCGACAACTTGAGATAAGGTTTGCAATGCCGGTAGGAACAAGAAGCATCGGATACCCCACAAAGCTTTTGAAGCCAACATTCGACACCAACAACTTTGAGGAGTCATTCTCCAACTGGGAGTTTGAGCTCGAAAGGTAGGAAAGAGACAACAGCACCCACCTACCACACCAGGTCAAGATTGCAGTCTTGATGAATGAAACAAAAGGACCACTACAACAACAGCTACACCTCATGGCTGGAGCGGCACCAACCTACACAGACACCTAAGCAACCATCATGGAATACTACAGGGCAACGACAGCATCCGGCCACTGCAGTAGCGGCTGCCGGCGATTGAAGCCAGTTCAAGTAGAGCAAAGCTGTGTCTCCAATGTGGGGGGTCAAGGCGCTGGTCATCTGCGTTGATGCATCCTGGCATCATGGTGGGATCACACATGCGCATGCATGTCTTCTCTCTGTATGTTGGTGCATGCCACAAGTATTAAAGACCATGCCCTACAACTTAGTGGTCCCAGAGCCGCAGACCCAGCGAGCCTGCAGGTAGATCACCCACTCCAAGAACGTGGAAAAACTCATCCACTCCACTTGCACCCGCGGTCAAACACCGCGCTGATCTCCTGCCGGGCCTTTGCGTCCCAGCTTCCAGAGTCACGGCCGCGAAGCACTTTGAGAGCATTTGCTGTTGACCTGGGGCACCAAGTACAAGGCACATGCATCACAGGTGCCGCACTGCAAAAAGCATTGGCTTCAGAAACGAAACGTCCGACAAATACCTACCCTTGAGGAAGCTTTCTCCGCTGTGGTCTCCCCCAAGAAAAGGCTCTACTGCTTTACAGGATGTGAATGGTTTTGGCCGAGCCGTTTTGGATGAAAACTGATGCTCTGAGCATCTGGCAAGAAGGAGCAAGGCAGGGTCCCGTCTGGTCATGTGTAGGGTAGGCCATCCTTTTCTGGTAGGACAACTTTTCCCATTGCAGCAGTGCGAAATTCGTTGGGGAATCTCTCCAAGAAACTCTTGATTTGGCCTGGGTTGGGCCCTGTCGGGCGCCATCCGATCTGGGTACTGAAGGCGTCAAGTGGCAAACGCCGTGGTAACTCCTTGTCCTTCTTCTCACTCTTTTCACTTTTGTCATCCCTTGCCTTCTTTTTAGACTTCACACTTCTTTCCCATTCTTCAAAATTCACTTTGGCCGGTACCACATCGGCAGGGGAAAAAGCTAATGCCTTCAGCAACGCCGACATCCCCACCGCAAAAGCCCTTGAGCCCGCACTGAGCAATCTTTGATGATGAAGCTATGAAACATTGCAAGTTTTGGTTATGCCCATCAATCCGTCCGATTATCAAGGGGGATTGCTCCGTCTCTTCCCTAACCAACAGGAGGCCACCCCGCTACCTATTCCAGGAAAGCAAAGCAGGCCAACCCGCTACGTATGCAGAGTGTCCGCGAACCCTATGTATACGTAGTGGGTTGCACTGCGCCCCGCTACCTATACAATGGTTTTCCTGCACTATTGGTGCAATCCAAAGCCAGAATTTGTTACCCACATGCCCCTCAATCACCAAAAACACTTGCATAGGTAGCGGGGCGCAGTGCAACCCGCTAGCTATGCAGCCTGTTTCCGCACCAAGCGCATAAGTAGCGGAGTGAGCTGAGCTAGACCTATGACATAGCTAGCGGGTTGACAAAAACCAGAGCTCAAAATGCTCTTGCCGCAAAAGGCTGCCAATTGCCAAATCACTCGAATCGCTGTCGCTTGCTAGGGCCTCCATCCGCCCCAAGCTTGTCCATCTCAGACTGCAAATGCTGCAAATTCTCCTTCGTGCAGCAGGGCTACACGCAAAGGCGGAGAGCGCTTCCTCGAAAAGGTTGGAAAATTCAGAAGGTTGAAGGTAAATACATTAGACTGATTGAGGACAAGCTTCCCTATCCATTGCCAAGTCCCCATCCCCACTAAACAAGCAATAAAACCCCAGCCACAGGCAATCACCAACCATCATCTAGGACGGGGGTCACCACCGGTCTGGGAAGTTGCCCCTAGATCTCCACGAAAGTTCCCATGGAGATGTGAGGCATTTAATTCCAAAGCAGGCAGTCCAAACTGCATCCCAAATGGCCACACAGATTCAAAGTATCCAAAAAAACATCCTCTGTCCTTAGCCTCCTCGATTCGGGGTGCCAAAAGGTCGCGCAAAGATTGCCGCAAGTGGTGCTCGTAGGAAACGAATGGCGAATCTGCCAAAGCAACCGATGCCTTTACAGCAGCCGCGCCCGCAATGAAATCGGACGAAGAGAAGGCCCAAAAGTCCTTAGCGAGGGGGCTGAGTTCATCGGTATGCAAAAGATCGTGAAAGATGTCCTTGCATCTACCTATTTGGATGCAAAACGCTGTTGCTCTACCTATTTGTTCTTTACACTAAGCAGCCCTCAAACTGAAACACACCTGGAAAAACATGGTTGTAGCAATGCCATGGTTCCCTCGATATCGGAAAATCAAACCATCCATGGAAATATGCATAAATAATCGTTGTTTCAATGTGGGCTTGTGAACTTTCCAAGCCTGTGTTGGAAATCCCGGAACTGAGTATAGATTGCAAGAAGTAGCGCAATCGTGATTCGCATCGTCATAAAACTCACCCTGCCCAATGTTGTCACAAGCCAGCCCCGTATCAAAAATGAAAACGGCTTCCATGCAACCAAGCGGCACTGAGAGGCGACTCTGCGAAGCGAACGTGGCGAAATTTGGCCACGAGATCCAGGTCAGGAGCACGCACCTTGTAGAGGCGGTACGTGGCAGGATGACTTTGAAGATCGTTCGGCCTCAAAAGCGAAAGAAAAGACCCACTGCATAAGTTTGATAAACCGAAACAATACGCCCGATGATGGCATGAATGATGTTATTTGATTTCTGGACACTTTTCACTAGCTACTGGTTCCCAGAACCTATATTCAGGCACTGGACATGCCACGTGCCTGGATGCACCTTTTGAACCACATCCAGTGTAGCAACAAATTTCAATGGAGGAGCTGCACCGATGGACACAGGAGCCATCAACAAAGGAAAAGGAAAGGGCAAACACAAAGGCGAAGGCAAAGGAAAGAAAGGCAACAAAGGAAAAGTATATGGACAACAAGGCTATGGCTACGGAGGACAAGGCAAAGGAAAAGGGCCCATTGGACAAACAGTCCAATACAAAAATCCAGCAACTATGCACAAGGAAAAGGAAAAGGGCAAGGAAAGGCAAACGGCCAAGGAAAAGCATATACAACAGGCTGCTACAGATTTGGCCAACAAGGTCACACGGCAAAAGACTGCAGAGTTGCAGTGCACAACATACAAGAGGACGGCCAAGAAAACTACAACGATGCAACAGGGCAGCGGTATGGACCACAGACCACCTATGACAACCAGTGGTGGACCAACGACCAAACACAAGTTAATGCAGTGCAGCAACCACAACAACTTGCACTTTCAGCACCTTCACAATTAGATGCAACGCCAGCATTGCATATTGCAGCGGTCACAGTACCACGCAACAGCAACAGCATAGTCAGAGCGCCAGACATGAGCATGATCACAAACCTCAACAAGGATGAACTGAGGACAAGAAAGGCCAAACCTGAGGACAGCAACAGAAGATCCCATTGAGGTCTATGGGTACGAGTGGGTCTACATGACCAACGAAAGCAACTAACAGATTGTGATCCCGTTCTATGTATGCTCTATTTCACAGCCAATTTTGTGAGTAACAAGACTGACAGAACAAGGTTTGACAATCCACCTCAGTGAACAACCAACAATCACACACCCAAACGGGTTTGAAGCAAAACTGCGAGCAAAGGAAGGAACATACTTCCTACCTGTGAACAACACAGGAACACCACCGAACTACAAGCTTGACGTCCACGAGACACAATAAGGAATCAAAGCAACAATATCACTCAGCACCTTGACAAGAGGGAGGAGAGGAGGAGCGCAATGGGTGACACACCAACATGACATCTGGACATACAACACTCAAGGATACTTGGTGAGACTCCACAAAGCCAAGCGCAGAGCAACGTACATGCCAGATCAACAATGCCCAGTTCCGATGGACGAACTTGAGGAATACAGAAGAATTATAGCCCGCAAACACAATGGCACAACAGAAGACTTTGAGGAGAAACTCCACAGCCTTGAACACAGCCAACAGAAGAGGATGCTTCACACAGCATGGAAAGGTGAAACGTGGTTCAAGGTCAAGAAGAACGCACGACCACCAAAGCCGGATTCCAACACAGACATCATCAAGCCAAGCACGCCCAGCGCCCGACCAGCAACAACCGGAACAAGGACAAGAGAGGAGGAGATACACTCAGAAGAAGCCAGCGAGGCCAGACGAGATGGCAGCAAGCAGTGAGCAACGGCCAAGCAATGAACAACGACCATACTCAGCAACAGGCATCCCAAGGCCAAAGGAACTTCCAGCAACTGAGGACTACTGACTACTGGATCTGTGAAGGGCACCTTTGGAAAAGAGTCCACATCAAGCCCAGAACACAAGGCTACATACGAACAGAACCCTACATACCACAACAAACACAAGACAGACCAGATGTTACCAAGCTGATCCCTGAGAGGACAACAATCATCAGGCCAACATCAGGAGCAAGATGGTACAGGATCGATGACGATTGGACAACCAAGCGACAAGCAACTTTGAATGTCCCATGGACTGGCTCAACAAACTTTGAGGAGAGCACCTCATACAAAGACGAGATACACGATGTGGATGAAGAAGACCCACAAGAAGCAAATCCAGCAAGAGGACTCACAGCACCAGCGCAACCAACACAACAGGAGAGAGCAGAGCATGAACTCACACATCTACCTTTCAGAAGTTGGTGTCCAAGATGCGTAGCCAACAAGGGTAGAGCAGACAACCACCCAAAACAAAGAGCAAAATGCCAGTAGTGCAATTTGACTTCTGCCACTGCAAGACAGAAGGAGAACCAACAACAACCGCAATCGTCACCGGGATTGATGTGGAAACAGGCATGATTATGGCAACAATGGTAGGAGACAAGCAACAAGACCTCCACTACCATGTCCAATGCATCCAGTCATTCCTCAAGGAATGCAGCAGAGTACAAGCAGTACTCAACAGCACTATATTACAATCAGACCAAGAAGACCGCCTGATAGCACTCCTACAAACAGCAGCAGCAAGCAAGATGGGCGGCAACATCACCGTCAGGCAATCACCACCATACAGTTCACAAGCACAGGGCAGCGTTGAGCGGCTCCATCGAGCACTGATGGGACAAATTTGAACACTGAGAGCCCAATTACAACAAAACTACGGCGGGACAATCACCAGCAAACACCCAATCGTACCATGGCTGGTACGACACACCGCGTATCTACTCAACAGGTACGCAACACACTCGGACGGCAACACCAGCTACTTCCGCAGATGGAATAAAGACCACAGAGCGCCACTCTGCGAGTTTGGAGAAACAGTACAATATTTGTTAACAACCATCGAACAACTTCCAAAGATGGAACAGCATTTCTTCAAAGCCATCTGGCTTGGAAGAGACACAGCAACAGGAGAAGCACTCCTGGGCATCGGCAGCAAGGTTGCCAGAGCAAGAACAATCAGATGCATGCCCAAGCCAGACAAGTACGAGTACGACAAACAAATGTTTGACATCATCAGCAGAACAGGACACACCATGACAACACCACCAACATCACAAGCACAGCTACGGCCACCGATGGTCTTCCATCCACCCAGATGACCAACAACAACGACAGAGACATCCAAGGAACAAATGACAATAACACCAGCACCAACAGGTGGACCACAACTTCCACCAAAAGCAATCGCAGACACACCAATGGCATCAGCAGCACCAGCCTTGGCCAACTCACCAATGGCCACAGCACCAACAAGTTTCACAGCAGGCAGGCAATGCCATCACCACCAAAGCAAAGCGACACATGACAGACGACATAGCAGAAGGAAGTGCAACAAAGCAAGAACGAACAGCCACACAGCAGGAAGCACCAGCCCGTCCAGAACCAACACAAGAACAGCCGAAAAGCAGACTCACGATCACAAAGGTCACCATCCAAACAAAGCAAGGAGAGGAGATCACAGCCTACTCCTGTGAGGACGTAACAGGGCGACAAACAGAAAGGATTCTCCTTGAACCCATTGTGAACAACACAGATGGTCTTGACAAACAGAAGACAATTGAAGGGACGAAACAGGGATCCTTTCGATGAAGCAACAGCAGGTTTACATGGAGGTTGACATCAACACTCTGACACCAGAACAACGCAGGAACATCATCCAGTCTTGCTGGGTCCTACGCGACAAGGGCAATAAGGTCTGAGCAAGAATTGTCGCAAAAGGCTTCACAGAAACAGTGACTGACCTGGATGACATTTATGCGTCAACAAAAATCTTTCTGTGTGTTGAGAACACTCCTCACACTAGCATGCAACAACAGATGGATTGCCCTGACAGGAGACATTTCAACAGCTTTTTTACATGCGGCAGCAGCAACAGCGGACCTGCCAAAGGAGTTCTACAACCCGGAGGGCAACATCATATGGAAACTGCTGAAAGCAATCTACGGACTACGTAGCAGCCCAAAAGCATGGCAGAAACACCTGGCAGAAGTTCTTCAACAGGTTGGACTTCACCGCAGCACAGCGGAACCCAACATCTACATGACAACAACTCGCAACTGCTTCGTCTTGGTCTACGTTGACGCCCTGCTTTTTCTTGGACAGGAACAGACCGTCAACACGCTCTTCAAGGCTCAGAACAGCAAGCCAGCACCAGCACCAGGTACAGTACATCAGCACTGAAGATGGCAATAGCAGACCATGAACAAGCACTTTCAGTAGAAGAACATGCTCAATACAAACGAGCAGTCGGAAAACTACAATGGGTGACATACACCAGACCCGACACCAGCTATGCAACAGAAGAACTAGCAAGAGCATTGCAGAAGCCAACAACAGCCGATCAACAAAAGCAGAAACACCTTCCCAGGTACATCAAGGAAACAAAGCACTACAAGCAGATCATTCGACCAACAGTGAATCTCCCAGCAAAAGCAATTCCTGACCTCAACGTTTTCGTAGACAGCGATTGGGCAGGATGTCCCACAACAAGTAGATCCACAACAGGATTTCTCATCACATTGCTTGAAACAACAATCAACTATGGAAGCAGAACACAGGCAACAATTGCACTCTCTAGTGCGGAGGCTGAGCTATACGCCATCAGTACTGGCGCAAAAGAAGCACTTCTTCACATCAGAAACCTCTTGATGGAGCTTCTCAACGTCAACAAGATCAACATCAAGACCCACACAGACTCATCAAGTGGCAAGAGCATGGCCACAAGGATCTCACGCGACTATGTGAGACTGATCGAAATCCACACAAACGACAGCCCAGCAGACATATTGACCAAGCACGTCTCAACAGAGACTCTGCAACGACACCTTCAACAAGCTGGACTTGGCATCCAGCACCTCAACCTTCACTGAAGCCACAAGCAAACAGTTTCACCAGCAGCTTGCAACCAGCGAGCAGCAACACCAGCATTCACTGCAGCGCGCGTGCACCAATACATACAAGTTTCACTATCCTCAGCCATGGGATCAACAATACTTGATCAACCTTTTGCTGTATATCAACATGATATCACATCAAGTATGTCGACACACTTTTTCATCATGGACATCTTCAACATGTATGGCCACCATGATGGAGTACACGTTTTTTCTTTGAATTCAGCACTTTGATTTGTGCAAGTTTTGGATGTCAACATTTTGTTGACAACAGAGTTCTCGTCGATTGCACCCGTTTTGGACAACCAGGTCCAACAGCACGTCTTTTTCTGGTACAGTGAGGAACAGTACCGAAGTGCAACATCCAGCGGGATGTCCATTGCCAACATCGATGGAGAAACATTCTCTCCAACATGGTCACATGCCATCGGTAGCCTCAGCCTACACGACGCAATGTGTTGCGCTGGCTACCAGCTTGGCCAACTGCATACATTGACTTCGAACTTCAACAAGTTCTATGTCATCATGTTTCAAGTTGATGCGGTCAACGTGATGTACGGCGCAGCCAATGGAACAACATCCATTTTTCAACAGGGCTGAATGCACTACACAGCTTCAGGTCTTAAATACAGCATGAGTTGCCAAGAAATTGCAACTCAGGTTCACTTCGAGATCAATGGTGCCATCAACAACATGTTCAAGGCTTTTCCTGGGAAACAGGGTACTGCTGGACGTACCACCTGGCAGTCAACATCCAGGACACCTTCAACAAGATGAATGATCGCACGCATTGGATTCACTACCCAATGCAACAGGCCATTGAATACGCTGGCCTCAGTATGTTCCGGCTGTCAAGCGCCCAGGCGAGAGCCAACAGCAGATGTTGGAGTATTGCAAGGCACTCAACATCACCTTGAGTGTCAACAATGACCTGGCTGAGGATTGCATCAGGGGAAGTTCAACATTTCCCAACCGGATGATTGAAACCAACTCACAGCCTGACTGTGAAGAGCCAAGATCGAGATGCAAAAGACTGAGGAGTCTGCCAACACGACTCCTAATGCAACGATGGAAACAACAATGACTGCAGCAGACCAACTAGATGTCCAACAAACGGTGGAGCTCAGACAACACCCTGATGCCATAGGGCATCAAACCAACAGAGCAGAAAAGTGCGACATGGACTTCCACTACGACAAAACAACTGAGAGGTGCATCAACAAGTGATTCGGGCAGATAAGGAACACTGTGATCAGCATTTGATCAACAGACATTCCTTCTGTCAACATCATGATTGTAAAGTGTACAGGATCGACCTCAACATAGCCGTTAATACAGTTTCAGTTCAACATGTAAAAAGTGATGAAGTGGCGTGCAACGGTATGCAACACCAAGTCAAGGAGGGGTGTTAAGCATCAACATTGTTTACTACGTTCATACTGATGGTCAACACCTTGGCCCAACATCAAGGCCTTGAGTCAGCCCGGAAGCCAACTGTTAAGACAACAGATTGGCAGTACAACAATACAGGATGTGCAACAAAAGGGTTGCTTCAACAGCGCACAGCTTCAGCAGCGCAACATACTGTTCAACAGCTGCCTGAAACTTTTCATGTATGTATGTATGTATGTATGTATGCATGTATGTATGTATGTACGTACGTACGTATGCATGCATGCATGTATGTCTGGATGGATGGACGGATGGATGCATGGATGCATGGATGCATGGATGCAGGGATGCATGGATGCATGGATGCATGCATGGATGCATGTATGCATGCTCGTGTTTATATATATATATATTCACATTTGTGTGCATATATGTGGGTTCGTCTGAACCCGCACATCCGCTGGTTGATCACCATTTTCCCCGCTAACATTGTTTAGGCAGGTGGTATACCCCACATTGGTTGATATATGCCATTGAATATCCCTATTCTATCCCCACTTTATCCCCATTATAGATGTATATACTATCATGCGGTTGGGAGACTCTAAGTAGCTCCATCTATGGGGAATATGGTTATACCATGTTATACCCCTAGCTCCTTAGTTCCCAAACACTGGTAAAGCAATAGAATAGCACAAGGACCCACCATCCCCCGGCACAATTTAGCAACTTCCAGGGGGTGCGGTGGCTCGATGGAGATCCGTCCTGGTTGTCGTGTTAAGTCAAAATCGATCTATCCATTTATCCAATTTAATCCTATCTAGTCCGATCTATCTGATCCTATCTAGACCTACTTTGTCTAATCCTATCTATCTAATGCTATATATCTAATCCTATCTACTCAATCCTATTGTCGAATCCTGTCTCTCTAACTCTATCTATATAATCCTACCTTTTGGTATCTTGTCCGTTCTTATGTTGACTTATCCTATCTTATGTTTTCTTATCCTATCTATCTATCCGTCTATCCAACCAACCACCCATCCATCCATCTGTCTTTCTCTCTCTCTCTCTGTTTAATCTAGCGATTTATTAGCTGATCTAAATAAATAATCTTACATCTCAGCAAAAAAACTCAAGAACAAAAAAGGTTTCAGGATGCAAAAGGGAAAAAATGGGGTAAAAACCGTTTTAAGACTCTGTTAAACCATCTCTCCCCAGCTTCGGTAGGGCTCGTTGTCCCTCGGAGTGTTTGAATCCAAAAATCCATGACGCTCCAAGAATGACGACACCTTCGCCTCAGAAACTGTCCGAAGAGTTCCGAAGCTGGTCGTCCCTTTAACGAAGTTTGGTTGAGAACGGGATACCCCGTTCATGGATTGTTATACACATTGTGACAATCCTCAATATATTGGTTCGTATAGTCCCCCAGAATCATCAACCAACGGAGGTTTCGAACAGTGCTCAATTAATGTCAAGCCTGGATTCATAAACCCCTACATGTTCAGGCTGTTGATCATTGGAGGGCTACCATTGAAGTATCAGATGAACTCACTATTTGAGGTGTTGACCATTGGAGGGGTAGCATGCATAAAAAAGAAACAGATGAACTCACAGCCTTTGGGGAGTACCCCCCCTCATAAACCATGGTCATTGGCAACGGTTAGGGGTGGGTTCGCCCATGTTTTGAAGGGAGAAGTGTAAAGGGGTGAATTCTATCACAATATGATCAAGCACCCAGAAAAGCCTGTCATCTGCTCGCAAGTGGCCTTTCGCTGTTCTTTGGCTCGGTCCGAGTCGGGATCAAAGTTCGCATAGCTCATCGGCATGGCGGACGAATCAACGATGGAACCGCGAGCGGCTCAGAGTGGTCCGACGCAACGAGGGTTATGGCAGCTACACAATCTGCAGGTGTTTTGTTGGAGCCGAATTACACCGTAAGTTGCAAAACTGCAAAAGGATATGTATCTTTATCACTGTATGCATATGCGCATATAAGCGAAGGGAGTTTTCAAATCTAACTTCTGACAATATGGACAGGTGCAGCAACATTGGGGACAGCAGTCGGAAAAGAGAAAGGAAGAAGAGAGAAGATCAGAGAAGAGAAAGGCAGAAAAAATGTTTTGTGGTTTCGGAGGGTCGAAAAGTAGGCTGGCTAAAGCGGCGGGTGCGGAGCCATCTGGGGAGATTCGAAGTCAAAAGGTTAAAAACACCTCACATCCGGAGCTATTTTGCCAGTTGAGATGTTGGAAAAGTGCAGGCTGCTGTGGCGCGAAGCACATTCGCAAGCCAAAAGTGTTCAAAACTGACCTTCTCGGACCACTTTTGGGCGTTGAGATGTTGAAAACGCGCACGCAACTACAACTACAACTCCAACTACACTACACTACACCAGACTACAACTACACTACACCACACTAAACTACACTACACCCACACCTGCAGCTACACCTACACCTACAACCACAACTACAATTACACTACAACTGCAACTAGAACTGCAACTGCAACTTGAACTTCGCTACACTACAACTACAACTCCAAGTGCAACTCCAACTACACTAGCCTACAACTACAACTAGAACTACAACTACACTACACTAGAGATAGATAGACAGATAGAGAGACTCAGAGAGAAGGTGACAGAGAGAGTCAAAGAGAGAGAGAGAGAGTCAAAGCGAGAGAGAGAGAGAGACTGAGAGCCTCAACCACTTTTCGATCCATCAGTGGGTTCGCTCTGCCATCCATCACAACAACTCACCTCTCCTATGGTTTCCTATCTTTGAAACTTCCGCCAGCGCCTTGGTGTGGAACTACTGGTATACATATCACATATATGTACAGTTCAAACAGGTGTATATACATAGTGTGTATATATATATATGTACATATGCAGTGAATGTGTGTGTGTACATATATATATATGTATATATAAACAAATAAATATATAAATAAACAAATAAATATATATATATATTGAAATATATATATATATATTAATATATATATATATATTAAAATATATGCAGTGAATGTGTGTGTACATATAAATTATATAAATAAACAAATAAAAATATAAATAAACAAATATTATATATATACAAATCCATGTATATATATATAAACCAATACATATATATATATTATATATACTGTATATATATACATATATACATTTATATATATATACATATATACATTTATATATATATATATACATATCTATTTATATATAATATATATATATATATACATATACATATATATATATACATATACATATATATATATATATGCAGTGAATGCGTGTGTGTGTACATATACATATATACATATATATATATATATATAAAGGTAACAATCATATATATATATATATGTATATGCTATATTTGTATACTGAAGATTAGCAGTGACCAAGATGCACAGGTCCCTGAATCGCCTCCAGTAGCACCATCCTCTAAGCAAGGAGTGCATTTCTACGGCTACCAAAGGCCGTGCATGTTTATCTCCATGGAATCAAAATCATCTCTGAAAATGGAAGAAAAACATAGGAAAAACCAAATTATTGCGATATGTTTATATATGTGGATAAGAAAAATCACTGTAAACACTATGGATTTTGAAGTGGTACCTCATCCTCCCAAAAAAAATCACCGCAGATCCCATGTCTCCGATGGCTCCCCGGCAACGCGGCACCTTGCAGATCGAATCGGATCGTCTGAGCTGGTGGCTCCTCCAAAGTTTACGCGGACAATCCGAATGTGTCCTTTTCCGATGGTTTTGAGTTATATGGCATATATGGTACACAATGAAAAAGTACAATTATATGATACACAATAATTATATGGTACAATTATGTACAATTTATAGGGACCCCAATGAAACCATAAGAAACCCCTATTTCGTATGGGAAGATGATGGGGGCTGAAGGTCCCATCCTTTTGCGTCCCTATAAATTCCGTTTATGAGGGAACAATCATAAAAGACTAGAGGCTGATGAAACATCTTCTTCTCTGTTTTCTCTGTGGACAAACTCAAATGATGACAACTACACCTCTTATTAATAGATGGGTGTCTAAAAATCCGGTATACCATGGTATACCCATTTCATGGCCATTTTAATGGCGATGATACTAATAATCCATTGGAATTGGGGGACCCTATTTTCAGACAAAACCAGATTTGGAAGGAAAAAAACAGGAAACCCATGGTCTTTCTCATGAAATCCTCAGGTGTTTCCTCTTAAGCTGTGAAAGGCCCAATGCTCGGATCCATTGAAGTCAGCCCCCCACACTCCCAAGCCTAGTGGGCCTTCCAAAATCAGGAAGGGCATGCCAAAGCACATGTATTTGTAGATTTTTTTCGATGCAACAAATTCAAAGGTGAATCAAATCAATAGCATTTCACTGGCCTTTTCTTGAAGGTGAATCAATGGTTTGGAAAGGTTCTATGCATTTGTAGAATGCCGAAATCTGCAGCGTCCTCCTGTTCTGGGTGTGACCTCAGCATCTTTGTAAAATGTAATTTCTTTGGAGGCTACCCCGAACTAAGATGGGATCTATACTGGTTATTTTAGGGAAAATCTTTTCCGAGTTTCGGGGTTCCACATCATTTTTCTGAGAGTGGTTCACACTGAAACACCTGTTAATTCAGCGAGGAAACCAGGTGTTTTTCACACCACAATGCCTGCATGTGCATCCCAAATCTTAGCTGGTGAAGTTTCCCAAGTTCGGCAAGCTCTCTGAGGGTATCCCCATAGGTTGTAAGCATGGAAATGACCACGACTTGGCTGTACCTGCAGGTTGGACCTTTGATGCGCACCATTCAGGACCACCTAATGTGCCTTCATACCCCGCAAAAATACGACTAAGTCAAGTCTGTTTGAATCGGAAAATGCATAGGCCTGCATAAACAATGCCTTCAAGACGATGAAGGTGTGTGTGTGTGTGTGTGCGTGCGTGCGTGCGTGCGTGCGTGCGTGCGTGCGTGCGTGCGTGCGTGGGTGGGTGGGTGGGTGGGTGGGTGGGTGTGTGTGTGTGTGTCCTGACCATCCACGATATCTGGGATGTCAAAATAGCAAAATGCCATTGGCCAATGATTTCTCCGGGGTCTAAGCTCCCGGGCCCTGATTGCATGCCCTGCAGCACGGCAGAAACGTCTTGAACTTCATTGTTGTTGTTGTTGTTGTCGTTGTCGTTGTCGTTGTCGTCGTCATCGCGTCATCGTCATCATCACCATCACCACCATCACCATCATCACCATCACCATCACCATCACCACCATCACCATCACCATCACCATCACCACCATCACCATCACCATCACCATCACCATCACCATCACCACCATCACCATCACCATCACCATCACCATCACCATCATCATCATCATCATCATCATCATCCTCATCCTCATCCACATGTTGGAAAACAGCTGATATATATATACATAAACCCAAAAAATGGGGATGTACCAACAAATCACCATGACTCATGTGTTTTCCATCATGATGTGAAAAGCGGCAGGCAATTCACGGCAATTCACGGCAATTCGTCAGAATCCTAATGATCAGGTCCCAATGATCTGCCAGCCTTCGCCCTGGGGGCTGAAATTTGGAACCATATTGGCATCCGAAATCCAAATTGGCCATGAATCATCCCATCATAATTGGATAGTTGACCATTCTGAACCATTATTAACCATGATTGCAGTAACCACTATCAACCACTATCAACCACTATTGGCCATTGCTGAACCGAACCATCCATTTTTTCATGGCTCATCCGCCATCTTTCACGGGCCCCAAACATCTCTCTGCGCCTGGGATCGAGCAGACGGCCTTGCAGCAATGTTTTTTTCAGTGATCACTTGGTTGATGAGATAACTAAGATCATGAATATATCGATTTGTAAATATCTAGCAAGTTGGAGTTAACGAAGTTGAATGGCTTAGTAGTATTTGATGATACTAATTAACTGATGTGAACTGATTTGTGAATAGTAATGTCACAAAAGGCTTAACTCATTCGTATCACTTGGCTGACCGTACCAATATTAAATCATTGATATCGGGGAGGTGAAGATGTGCCTCTGGCTGCCGGCATCGCTAAGCCTGCCGTTGCTGAGCTGTGAATGGGAACATCGAAAAAGAGGCTTTGTACATGGGGTACCCCCCATTGATAATGTTTAATACTGGTTAATAGTGGTTAATAGTGGTTAATTCCTATAGATGATGTGTGAATCAATTGCATCAGATCATAACATATGTAGATATGTACTTGTGCATACACGAAACTTTTAATTCTCGATGTGTACATGTACATGTGGATAATGAGTGGTTTATTCTGCATGTGTACCGTGTCTAATCCATGCTGCCATTTTCCAAATCATCCCAGTTCAGCATAGACACTTAACAAAGACCACGAAATAAACAAACATCATTCATGCTCTTGACCACCCCTAATTCACGTAAAATCATGTAACCCTGAACGTCAATGACTCAATTGCCTCAATGAATGCTAGTGCAAACCAACCATTGATCCAAGGTAAAAGAAGAGCTTTTGGACTCTATGAGACAAACATCTGTAGTTACAGTAGACACTACTATGCATTGGCATAGTGAACAACCATTTGGCCATTTGGGTTTGTCTGAAAATCGGCGACCCTTGGCTACATGTTCCCCATTCGCCATAACTGGGGGTACCCCATTGACAAACCGCACCTTTGGCTTCCCGGCTGCGCCGCGGCCGTGAGCCTCAGTTAAAACCCACGCAGAAATGCTGGCAATGAAAAGCCATAGAAAAACAGGGATTCCAGCAACAAAAATAGTGACTTAGTAAAATTATAATCCAGAAATTCAATAGTGACTTAGCAACTTTGGCTGCTGCTGAAGAGCAGCAAAGCATTGGGATTCCACCAAGAAAAATTGGAAACTGCAGCCCACACAGATTTCATTGACACATGCTTGGGATTATATAGGTTTATGTCACTTTTTGGGTGCTTCTACCATAAATGGATGATATTGGTGGCAAAACCAATGTCAACTTGACACTCAACTTCCAACAACCGAACTGCTGGTGCCCATACAGCTCAACTTTTTTGGATTCAACCGAAATTGCTAAAATTCACGGCATCATCATCAATCATCAATCATCAATCATCAATCATCAATCATCAATCATCATCATCATCATCAATCATCAATCATCAATCATCAATCATCAATCATCATCACCATCATCATCATCATCATTGTCATCATCATTATCATCATCATCACCATCACCATCATCATCATCAATCATCAATCATCAATCATCAATCATCAATCATCATCATCATCACCATCATCATCATCATCATCATCATCATATTCCCGGGAAAATTGTGAGATTCCCAGGAAAATTGTGAGTCCAGCACATTCTTCCGAAGTCCAACCATCTTGGGCGACTTGATTTTTTTTTTTAAATGACCCAAAAAATGAACAGATCCAGTATGAAACCATGGTTTCTATCAGTGCAACTCATCGAAGCAAAAAGTCTGACTTCTCTGATGCAAGTCTCTGCAAAGGACAAAGAATGCATCTAACTAGAAAGTTTATACCATGTGCGAAGAAACTTGGGTTTGTTTGAAAATAGGGCCCCCCTAAATCCACTGGTTAATCATGTTCCCTTTGCCCTCAGTTCACTGGTCGATAAGCTAGATAATTGCAAGGATAACTGGCTTATAAATCGCTAAAATTGGTAGAGATCATCCTTCCGTAGCCGGGATGAAGAAAAAACCGAGGGACGCATCGCGCTGCAGGGACACCGCACTCTGCCTCGGCAGACGGGGACGGTGGGTTGGTAGTTGGATTATCCAACAGTTGGATTCCCTATATTCCCAACATTTCCCAACTATATGTTGGTTGGCTTTGGGAGTATATGGGAATATAGGAGCTATATATATATATATAGCTCCAACAGCTATGGTTGGACCTCTTGGAGATGTTTCTTGGAATACAACTGGGAATAGTGTTATCGGGATATATTTGGGAATGATACTGGGGTAAGATCAACCATTTGATGGGGATATCATAGAGATATAAATGGGCATAAAATAGGGGTACGTCAACCCTGTCCATTTCGGAGGGTTATAACTAGAATAACTAGGATTCACGGCAAATGTATCGAACTATCAAATGGAGTTGATAAACCAACTTACAACTGGATCAAACAACCCCTGGCTGTTGATCAGTGGGCGGTGACCATTTTAGCAAATGAACTTACTATTTGGGGGGTGGGTACCCACTAATTCATCAACCAGATCAACCAGGGTTTTTGAATCTGGAGTTGACAATGCAGAACACGGCTCAGCCGACAAGAATATCTGGCTCAAGTGGATGTACATATATGGATTTATTGATGTTTTACTGGTGTACCCATTGAATGGATTGACTCCCAATGGAATGCATGGCTAAATTGTAGCAACTCGCTAACATCCACTTCGCGGGCTAGTAATACCGACCAAAATGCGTCACGGTATCTGCCAGTCAATTTTCAAGTGTAAGAAGCCAGTTATAACTGTGGTCATTCTGCTTTCGGGGGGTAGAGAGTTTCCACGAACAACGAGAAAACTATCTCTCTTCAACAGCAGGGAAGGGAACCAATGGATGGACAACTCCGGGATATTGGTCAAGTTCTACATCATAACATCCAAATTTCTTCAGTCTTCTCACTTCCTTATTCCCATATTTGACGTAATCCCATAGACAGCCATTTTCAACCTAACCCCTCTTCTCATGTCATTCCACGTATTTCCCGTTAAAATCCTACATCCAAAACCTGCTTGCAGATCATTTAAAGCACGATCAAGGCCATTGGGGTAAGCCGTTGCTGCATGGCTCATCCTTTCACCGTGGGCCCATTTTTTATGGTTCATCTTCTGGGTAACAATTTACATCATGTTTAGCTACGAATTAGTGTATATATATATATATACATATGTGTATATATATATCATTTATATATATATTAATATGTATGTATATATATATACATATGCCTCCATGTGCAGGAAATAAATGAAATAAATGATCAGTTTTAAGCGCAACAGTCAAAAAAGATGCAGACATCACTAACTGTTTTTCGGTCTTTCAGGTTGTTTAGTTTACTAAAGTTTATGTTGGAGTTGTTGATGTTTTTCCAGAAACCCCAATCAATTTGATTGTAAAGACCATAGTTTCCGCTTAAGATTTCCCAACAACACCAATCCATTGATTCTCGAGTTTGGTGATTCAATCCCCATTAAATCCCCATGAAATCCCAGGCTGAGCCACGAGTGGGACAACTCTGAGAAGGTTCTTCTTCCAGCAGGCCGCAGCCTGCGGCGTACCCCTAACGTTCATCATCATTTTGCCACTTTTTGGGACATACCCATTGGGTGTTTCCTGAAATGGGGGTAGACCAGTTGAGTATTGGCACCTGTGGTTTTGGGCTACTCCCATTTTATGAAACCTACATGAGTGAAAACAGGGGACCGAACAAGGGAACCAACCACGGTATCCTTCGATAACCCCATTAAACAAACCAAGCACCCGACCTTTTTGGGCACTTGAGCCATAACATCCATAGCGTACTAAGTGAACCCTGACCCAGGTGGTTGTTAGGGTGAGGGAAGTACCTATGTCTAATTACGGCTACTCTACTTACCTAACGCTTCTAGGTAAGTAGTGATATACTGTACATTGAGTATAATGAATTGGGACTAGAAAGGGACTCATAGCTACGCTATTTACACTACGCTATACCTACCTGCTATGCTACATGTAGTGGGGGCTCAGGGGTCGATATATTTCAACTCCCCCCTCGCCTGACCCACGCTCTGCACTTTTGGCAGGCACCTACGCACTAATATTGCGCAAGCGGGCGCTCGCAGCAATCTATGCGTCGGTTTATGGTCTAACGATGCGTGTGTGTGTGACACATCCATTTCGGTCCATCATTGGTGATGGAGGTGGACATTGTGTCTTGAGAAGGTTTCTTAAGTTAGGCGGATGCCCATGACCTAAGACCAACATTGTGTTTTGGGCGCTGCCAAGGGAATGTATGTGAGCAGGAGGATGAGGTCCACACACGTGGTGGCGCGGTTTCAGCGGGCTTAGCTATGTGATTGCCCAGCAGTCCGCACTGCGACTCATTACCTAGCTCTATATTATCCCTACTAAGCTTATCACATGGAATACCATTATGTTCACCTGTCGACAATCCCTAGATGTCAGGGGAAGAGGCAAACTTGGATGTGGTTGGCTTTGCATTCGCACTAAGTGCGATCTTGGCAACTTTCCGATGTCTACGGTTAGCGCGACCAGTTGGTTGGTTAGACCCTGGAAGCGACTCCTGACAAGGGATTGAGGCTGATGAAACAACTTGGGATTGAATTATGGCACTTAAAACGCTGGCTATTGGGGGTGACGGGAAACCAGGATTGGGAAGCTCTAACTCCGGAACATTTTATCACTATTCCCATGAAGCCGCGGATTTCAAGGAAGAGTGAAAAGGTATTGGGCTAGAGATTTCTTCACTTACCCTGATGCGAGCATGGAGCTCAGCATCCTCGTCACTTTTGACTCTTTATGTGCTTGCGTTAAGTGGTGCTTTCTTTCCCTTTTGGTGTCGTTTCTCTTCTTCAACCGTATTACTATTTGTGAAGTGGGCGCAGCGTTGGTCGGCAGGATGCCGTGTATGGGTGTTGCAGGTAGCACACCCAGGCGTATCCTCAGTGGTGAGGACATGATTTAAGAGGATGTTTATGGGACATCTCCTAAGATCAGGTGTTGAAGGGTCATTATTACCCCCATCTTTATGACAGAGAACGTCATCCTCAGTATTATTAGGGGATTTCAAGTCATGCGGGTTACCCCCCCTGAAGAGGGCATGACCACATAACATACCTACCGGGAAGACGAGATCGCCTTCATGCACCAGACGCGCTGGGTTGTGCACATTGGCTGCTACGCTTTCACTTCTATGCGACTCAACTTTGCCTGTTATTACCTCAAACTTTTGGGAACCTTTATCTAGGATAACGCTGCTTGATGAGAGCCGCTCATGCTGCTGCTCTGAAGAATCATCAAAACCATCGGCCTCGCCGTCATTGGAATGTGAAAACTTCATAGCGTTATCTTTAGTTATATGGCTAATGGGGTAAAACTGGCTATTTGATAAGTTTAATCGCGTATGGCTTGGATTGGTGGCTCGCTGCTTCAAGATTTTATCCTTTGGCGGCTCGCCGCTCCCCGGCTCAATTAGGAGCTGGTCATCCATTGTGTTATTGGGTACGTTGGAAACATCGACAACGACCATTTTAGACCCCGATGTGTTAGCCAAACCAACAACGTCACCAACAGATTCAGGTGCTAGATCTGTTACTACATCTTTTGCGGGTGGAAAGACATTATACGTAGGGATTGACGAATTACCATGGTTATTGGAATCATCTACTTCTATAAGTGTCTTGGGTCCTACGGATGAAGCTGGCATTGCATTTGGTACCGGAGCAGGGCGCTCATTTGGATCAAATGAACATGGAGTCAGTTCTTCATCATACTGTGGGACGTATTCTACCACCCTAGATGCGCAGATTTTAGCGTTCCTGGGAACTTTTAGCCTGCATCTATTGACGTTTTCGGGAGCTATTAGATATGGGACGCTCTCCCGTGGATCCCAGATGAACATGTAACCTTTATCTATGACTGCTTTACCTATACTTTGTGCTGGAGGGCATTCCTCTAGAACATAGACCTCTTCACCATCAAGAATCTTACTGCCACTAAATGTCAGGGATCCTTTGCCGGATTGGCTGCCACCTCCGGTAGCGAAAGCTACGGGATTTGGAGAGTGCTGTACACTCTCCTGCATGGATGGTGTGAGGGCTTGGCGTCCAATGAGGTGTCGACCTGCTGCAGTGTCCCACAGCCAAGGGATGGCTGTGGAAGCTTCGAAAGGCATGGCAGTGATTACAGGTTTAATCGCGTCAGAGACAGCGATCTCTGGGACTATCACAGTTGCTACGCTAGCATGAACATTAGGAGGGGCTTTATTACCTTTCCTAAGTGATCTAGGAGGAGGTCCTCGATATTTATTGGTTTCAGAGTGGAGGAATGCGCACGATTCTGCCCTACATGCATTGTACGCGAAGAACATGCAAGGGGTGGTGGCCTTCTCGGCTGCCGATTTACGGGCTGCTCTCTTGGTCCTCTTCCCCTTAGGGTTCGTGCTATCCACATCAGTGGATGGAGGCTGCTTTAATCCTAAGGGTCTAGCCTTTTGGGTAGGGGCTGCCTGCATATCCTCTTCGGTCTCACCCCCCCTGAACCCTGACTTGCTGGAGATTCAGGAGTGTTCTCCGATTCTGGGTCTGGGGTTGGTGCCGAGGCACCAGCGATGTTGTCATCGGGAGGTGGATTGGTACCGAAGTACCCTGCCGCTGGTTTTAGACCTAGCTGTTCATCAAAATCTCGGCGATTGCGCTCTTGCTGTTCCAGTTGGATGGCTAGTTCAACTTTAGACCATAACCAGTCAGTTGTGCGACGATGGCTATCCAGTCGGGCTTCCCTAGCTTTAATGACCTTGGGGGCCATTACATCATGGTGCTCAAGCTCGTCGATAAGATGGTTAAACAACGTTTGCGGTCGCGGCAAATCCTCTATGGGAATTGTTGACATTACGTAGATATAGGTGTCTCTAAAGGTAACTAGATCGGCTACAGTGTTACCGGGGACCTTAAGGGACAGCAAATTCCTTTCGCCGAGCATGCCAAGGCGGCCACGCTCTAACTGGAAATGTTTGAATATTCTACGCAACATCGCGCGCCCGCAGGGCATGGCCCCACTAGCAGCGCGCTCAGATTCTAACATCTGATTGAAGATGAGTCCAAACTTTCCGCCTTTGCAAGTTCCTAAGAGCTTGGATGCTACTTCGCGGTCAGTGCGAGGGTAGCGAGGGTCGGTTTGGAGCTCTTCCTCTGTTAAGGTTAGGCACTCCTGGGCCCACAAGTAAAGTTCATTACCAGGGGTCTTTTGAAGTTTGCCTATGGCCATTAACACCTGGTTCATGTAACCTCGAGATTCACCTGCATTAACAGGAGGGTGGGGAAGAACCAGGTCAGTCAGGGACGTGATCATAACGGTCATGGCTTCCCGTCTCGCGAAATTTACAGGTGATGTGGAGGAACTGTCGGATGATGACCCTGAGCTCGAAGAGTCTACCGACCTACGTGAACTTGTGGTGATAATATGATGGCATTGAGTGTTGGGCACCTCGTTGAACAAGGTGCAATGGCAATGGTGGCACAACCGGAGGAAGCACCTGCTGCGGGAATAACTCACTTCCTGTGGCTCGACAAGTCGAATTACCACATGGTGTACCCGCATGGCTCGCATGACTAAGACCTATCCCTAGTGGCGTGCCAGAGGCAGTGCCCTGTGCAAATGATGCTGGGGGCGCACCGGCTGATGCTACTACTTGGTGTGCTTTTGCCAAAGCTGGGTTCGAATCACTTACAGCATGTGCACAGGGCACAACAGCATTAGATGCTGTAGGCAAGTTAGCTGAAAGACTGGGTCTTGTTGAAGCCACCTCCTGTAGCTGTGTGTTCGCCCTAGATTGTAATTGTTGTTGCATCTGTTGAAGCTGCTGCTGTTGCAATTGCAATGCCTCTGACAACCTTAACACCTCAGCTTGGAGTTGTTGAACCAAAACTGACTCTGATGTGTTCGAGCCACTTACAGCTGTTGCACTAGGCACCATAACATTTAGTGTTATGGGCAAGCTAGACACTGTGACTAACTCTGCGAGCTGGTGGTTCGCCACTACAGGGGCGGGTGAGATACCCGAGTGGTGTAAAGACTGGGGCATGGATGCTACAGCATTTTGTGCGGCTACATTAGACAATTGATAGTGGTTCTCTCCTGGTTGCGCAGGAAAGCCACCACCAGGGACTTTGGGGTTAACCCTACCAGTCGCCTCTACGACAGTTGGGACAGCAACCATTTGCAAAGTGCCTGATGTATTTTGTAAATTAGGTTGGCTTTCTCCTGATTGTGCAGGAGGGCCAGTAATGGAATCCGGGGAGACTAGTGCAACACGGTGTCGCTGCTGGGTTGCAGCCAGCTGACGTTCATTGGGGAACATCCTAGAATCCTTTACGGTTATTCCAAAATCCCTACCAGAGACATTGGGGGCAACCCGACCAGTCGCCTCTACGACAGTTGGGACATCAACCACCTGCAAAGTGTCTGATATTTGAGGATTATTTGGGGACAACAATGGACTAGCTGGATTGGGACATTGAACGGCAGTGGATGGGACCGCACTCAGATCT